GGTAGACAAATGAATATTCGTATTTAATCACCCATGTTTCGCTACAAAACTTATACACCCTTACCGATATCTGTCTTATCTGACTTGCTAGTCGTTGTGTAGGGGGAGGACTGTTGAATAGGAGTGCCTAGTATCCTGATAGCAGTACGCTGGTTAATTTGTGAATACACGTGGTGTGTAGTCACAACCTGCGATGTCCTGGATGAGCATTGTGAGTTGAAGCATCGCTGTGCCTGTCCGTACAGTATTGAATTTGTGATTTAAGAATTGTTACAGGAGAGTTCGTACTAAATGCATGAGTATTGACTGAAAAGGGAAGATGGATACTTGATGGTACTAGATATTGCAGCTGGTGGTGTGTAAAAAACAGGCATGTAGCTCATAGTTATCTACACCTAGCGTAGATAGTACGCAGAAACTTGGTTGTGCTTCGAGAGTATTAAATCGTTAAAAAAATGTGTATGCCAACGAGAAACCTTTGTTTGCTGCGCATATATTTGTTTGTGTGGGAACAGATATGTTTCCGAAGTCAATGGTAGTCACACCATAATAGTAACTTCTGATTGCACACCAACGAAAGAGATGTAAGACATTGCAGCCCAGATGTACGTGTTCGCTATACCTATCTGATAGGTGTCTCATGGACAATACAGACAGAATAGTGCGAGGGGTTAGTTATGGTGTTGCTGGGAAAAAGTAGGCACTGTGTCTCCACACGTCTACGATCCTATTACAAATATTCCCTTTACAGCCAACCGTATACCACCCATAAAATTGACACTCAACACACCAGACTGACGGGCCGGGAAAAAGCCCCCTGATATGCGGTCCGATATGCGAACATTATCAACTAGTATCCACTCACAATTGCTATCCTAGAGCTCTTGACTGTATAGACTATCAATGCAACAAGTAGTAATATAACTTAAGAGTATATATTGCATCAATATATATGACAAAAAGCGACCACATGACCCGCGTGTCTTTCACATGCAGTCCTTATTGTACCCTGCGCACAGAAGTTACAGAACACTCGAAACTCCAACTGGCAAGAGAGCGAGAGCTCTCACTCGCTCACTCGCTCAGTACCTGAGTACATACATCTGAATAGAGTGTATACCTAGATCACAAATGTTTTGTGATAAAGCACTGGTGGAGCGACAATTCCTCCCTGAGCCTTTGGTAACCAATAAAACGGCATTGGAACGCTGACACGCTCCAATTGTCATAAGAGATCACTTTTTGTCTTTTTGACAACAATGACGACACTTTAAAAAAAAGCTCATTAAGTACCGAACAGTTAACTCCCACGAGGGTACATAGAATAGACCAACGTAAATCTAACCATATTTTTAAATAAAAATATGTCCAATTTTATTTTATTTTATATTGTGTGTACGCTTTGGCACTGCGCGCCAAACCTTTTTGGCCCATTTATAGCGCCTCTATATACCCTCGTGCTAAATAAATTTGTACATATTTTTACTAATTAATATTATGTACAGTATACAGAGCACATATATTTCACATCATATTATTATATATTTAGACATACATATACTTGGGTGGTTTTTGTCTCACTGTTACGTGCCACAAGCAAGTTCATTCAACCTATAAACAAATGGACAGTGATCATGTAAGCTAATAAATCTATGCAGCACACGCTATCCGCTATCGACAGAAAGGGCTGTTTCCTAATTTTACATGGGCTTTGTAGGGCATTCACCGAGAAAGATCAGAATTAATGTAGGTCGGCGGTTATTTTGAACTCACTGGTACGACAGGCACATATAAGTCATAGAGTTTCGAACAGGTGCAAAATTATTCTAGCTATTAATGGTGTCAAAGAGCACACACGGTCAACAGATGGCAATATATAAAATTTTAAAAGGACTTTGTAGATCGCGAATTATATATATATATATATACGACGTACACACACACGCACACACACACATATATATATATATATATACATATATATATATATATATACATATATATATACATATATATATATATATGTATATATATTGATATGCATATTTGATTATATGTATGTATTATGCATGTATATATATGTATGTATGTATGTGTGTACGAATATGTGTACGTATGCATGTATGTATGTATGTATGTATGTATGGATATTTATATATATATGTATATGTATATCGTGTGC